GTCGTCGTACGTACGTACCAACGGAACGGACGGAGGTAGGTCGTCGTAGTACTTGTCGTATATTAGTTGTCGTCGTAACGTAAGAAGTAGTAGTGTCTCTTCCTTCCTCTCTCTCTCTCTCTCTCTCTCTCTCTCTCTTGCTCTATGCACGAATGCGTGCTGTGCACTTGCTAACTTAAAAAGGACTGAAGTGATTGTTCTTCAAAACCACTGCAAGTTTCAGGAAAGCTAATCTCTCTCTCTTTGTTCGTTTTTGGAACGACAGTTATCTCCACTTCAGTTCTCCTTTCTTAGTGGACAATTTCCTATCAAACACGCATGCATAAGCATGCATTTATGGACGTTTCTGATTCTCTTATTATTTGTGTTTTTGATTCTCTTATTATTCTAAAAATTGGGCTTTCAGGAAAATGGATCGAATATGATGATGAAAATCCCATCCCCCAAAGGGAGGAAGACATTACAAAGCTATCTGGTGGAGGTGAGACCTTGACTTGTTGCCCAAGCTGTTGGTTTTAGTTTCATACTTGTGTGACTGTTTCAACCCCGTTTTTTTTAATGCGACATGATACTTCCGCCTCATGATTTAGATTTTATATGTTCATAGAATCTCTTTTTGGGTTGTTTCAGGAGACTGGCATATGGCTTACATTTGTATGTATAAAGCTCGACTAGTTCAGGTTTAATTGATCTTCCACATTTTGAGCACAATAAACTAAATTCATTCACTTATGATCAAGTGTAAAGATTATACAGGCCTTCAAGAGTTGTTTTGTGTCTGAGGTGAGTCATTGGATTGCATAAATATTTTTTCAAGATGTGGCGAAACCAAGTACATTCTCTCTCTCTCTCTCTCTCTCTCTCTCTCATATTTTTTGTTAGAACTTTGTAAATCGTCATGGTCTGCTGACTATCTGAATGGTGCCTAAACTTTTCATGTATAAATTGCTTCTTAGACAGATCATTTGCTGGCGAGTAATCCAATTTCTTTTCCCTCTCCATGAGTGAATGGAAATAGCAATGGTTGGTACTCTCCATAGTGCCATTTATCATACTGGATTTTCTGGAAAATACCAGAAAACACGCTGTTATTTAAGAGAAACTAAAAATGTCTCTATTTCTAAATAATCCTATTTCTTACCAATTCGTTGCATTTCCATTCTTAGCCTGGATGTCCAGTGTCGAACAAACATGTTTCTAAAGTGACAACGACAATGTTTTCTGTTGATCTGGGCAAGAAATATAAGCTGGAGGGGACTCGATTGGGCTCAAAGCACTCTCTTTTTTGGGGTTTACAGTGGAAACATGTCCTACATTCACTCCCTCGACAAAACCCCACTTATTTTTAGGATTGCGAGTTTCAGGGATGGAACGTCCATCTCCTAACAAGACCACTTTATAAATAAAAAAAAATTGAGAGAGGGAAAAGAAAAGAAAAAAGGCTAAAAAAAAAATTGAGAGAGGGAAAGGAAAAGAAAAAAGGCTTTGTAAGCTCGAAAAGAGTCTATCCAATTTTGATGTGCCTAAAAAAATAATGTCATGAGATTGACCTGAGAATTCATGTGCTTAAAAAAACTGAAAAGAATAATGTCCCGAGATTGTTCAATTCTTGATAGGTAAGATTCAGGTGATAAGGAAGTAAATTTTCTTCAATGTTATTTTGAAAATACTCAAATGGTTATTTCAAAGATTTAAGGTTTCAGATTGAAAATCTTTCTTTGTATAACTTTTGGCTGAGAGGTGGATTATGTTATGCTTCCGCAAGATATACTAAGCACGCTCCTTTTTAATTAAGGGCACATTTAATAATGAGAAGTTTCAGCTATAGTTGGAAGTTCCAGTTCACTGTAACAATTCTTTGTTTGATAATAAGAACTACTATAAGAATGTAGGGAGTTCTGGGTTCTCTAAGGGTGTGTTTGATAACTGGAGGTTAGAGAGATGACGAAGAAACTTCCCTATTACTGTATATATGGGGAGGAACAAATGCGCGCTCTCTGTCTTAAATATTTTATCTCTTTATATATGTCTAATGCATCCAAAAATCTTAAAGAAACTAAAACCTAAATCCAATTCTCAATCGATCACCTTCAACACTCTTCAAATAGAGCAAACTTGGTTCTAGATAAGAAGAACCATAGAGTCTAGAGCAGTTTTAAGGAGTCCTGCTTTTTTATGTCCTCAATTTTCTAGCAGCAAATCTAGAACACACTCCCTAAGGACCACAAGCACTCGCCCTCTCTCTTGCATATTAATTTTCTCTCTCTACAAAACCTACTTTTTATAAAAAAAAGAAAAAGAAACCACAATCCCTTAAACATGGTCTTCTCTCTGGAACACCTACCCACAGGACTAGAAGAACTTACCCTCTCTCTTGCATATTGACTTTCTCTCTCTACAAAACTACTTTTTATTAGAAAAGCCCTGGAGAACCACCCAGGTGAGGCCCATCTATCTATTACCATTCTTTAGGAGTGAAAAAAGTTATATTCCACGGACTCACCTTGGATATCTAAACCCAAAAGATTCACTCCCCTTAAAAATAGTATTTTCATAAATATGGGGAATAAAGGTAGTTATGAAATATAATCGGTATCTTGAAATCCCAAGGATTATCATATATCGTACATTATAGGAGCTCCTAAAGGGGTTTAGGAATTACATGAATCCATTCAAAACATGGCTTCAAGCCAACGAATTAGAAGTCCTAGGTAGCTGGGGAAGTAGATAAGTCCTGTTTCAATTAAGAATTGAATTAATGTAAAAAGGCAAATAGAGAAGTCCTATTTTAATATGGATTGGTTTAAACTAAAGAACCTTGACTTCATGGGTTGGAAACCTAATGGTGTACTAGTTCACAATAGGTATTTGCTTTCTTAGGTTCAATACGTATGTATGAGGAGCTTTGAGCTTAATCATATTCATAATTTTATTTCATAAAGAAGACGAAGAATAAAGACGAAAAAAAAGAAAGAAAAAGAAACAAAAAAGAAAAAGGGTAAGTCAAAGGGGATTTGGGAGGCGGTCATTTGGTGAGAATAGAGCCCGAGACGAAATGAGAATAGAGCCCGAGAAGAAGAGGATTAGTCCGAGAAGAAGAGGATTAGTCCGAGATGAAGAAGATTAAAACCAAATTAATTTCGACGATGAGTAAAGAGGCCAAAATCAACCTTAGTGGTCTTGACTTATGCCTCAAGGAACTAGGAGTCCCCATTATCATTGGTTTCTTAATCTACATGTGGTTCTTCCAAACACCTAAGAATTTACCAGTTGGGGGTGGTAATGGAATTTCAAAGCAGTTTGTCAAGGATGAATGCAGGATGAATGCTCGATCTGCCTCCATGGTTTCATGGAGGATGAAGTGAAGTGGTTAGAGAATTGCCATGTCGCCATGTCTTTCATAGAAATTGCATAGATAAGTGGTAGGCAAAAGCCTTACATTGCCCACTTTGTCGAAAGTGTCTCAGGTGTCTCTCATGTAACAATTGACACTTAATTTTTGCTTTTGTTCTACAAGCCATGTTACACAATACCTTATAATTTTATTTCTCACGAAAAGAAAATTTCAAAAGTCGGTCTTTTAAACATGACATAGTTGTAGTGTTTAAAAAAAGTACAAGCCATGTTACATAATACCTTATAATTTTATTTCTCAAGTAGAAAAAATTTCAAAAGTTGATCTTTCAAACATGACATAGTTGTATAGTGTTTAGAGAAAGGGGAAAAAGGCGGCGAAATTAAGTAATTCTCCAATGAGATTTCAAGAACAAACAAACGTGTCAGATCTCTTCTTTCTTTTCTTTTCTTTTTTTCTTTTTTTTTTCTTTTTTTTTCTTTTTTCTTTTTTTATGACATGTTAATGGCAGGAATAGAAGGTAGGATGTCATGTTGAGGCATCAGCCCCCGATCACCAATGCCCCAACCCCATTCCCGCGATGTCGAATTTTTTTGGGGTTGACACGTGTCTTGTGTATGTTGACATGCCTAGAACCGTGAACATACCTTTTCATATGCCACCGGTATATGTAACTCATGTATGCCACCCTCTCCCTACGGTCGGATCTGGATGGAGGGCTGAAACGCTTCATTCTAATGTCAAAAGTGAGCATATGAGCATTTGATCTTGATCTAGTGGCTTAGAGTATTTTATTTTTAAATTTTTTCTACAAATCATACGAATATGAAACTTAGGGAGTTTCATCCTCTCTAGAGGTCGTCTAAAAAAAATACTTTGGTCATTTTATTTTATTAAGAATATTTACCTTTTTATATATTTTTCTCATGTGCGGCTCCATGAGAGGATGATACACGTCAAATTTGGTGTCAATATGATTTGTAAATAAATAAATAAAAAAGATTTGTACAAGGAAAAAAACAAAAAGTAATGACATTCAGGCATGATATTATAATTCGGCCGTGCAAGTAGATGGGACCCCTAGGTAAGGGGCCGTTGTATTTAGCGGCTTACAATAAGGTTCCCTATAGAATAAGGGCTTATTGAGAGCATATAGTAAGGTTCCCTATAGAATAAAGGCTCCACCATATCTGAAAATTTTGGTCACTAAGACCAACTTGAAAATAATTAGTTTGTTAAGGTTATTTTTGTTATTTTGAAATTTGGTTGAGATAAGATTTTATGAATTATAAGATATAGAAAAGGGAATACCTAATTTAGAATTTTTACATAAGCTTTTGATAGGAAAGGGATTGAGTTTTGAATTGTACGTGCTTTTGCTTTCATCTTTTCATGGCCTTTTATTTATATATAT